GCTATCACTTCTCGATTAGATATACTTATGTCTGCTCTAACTTCTTAGAGTCTGACTACTGCTGCTGTCACCACTACAGGTATGCCTCGTGTCTTTCACGCTTGTGCCAGTTCATCTCCCTTTTGGATGTTGGACTCGGGTGCGAATGGTTACATGACAGGTAAGGCCCATCACTTCACCACTTTTGATGAGTCGTTACATACACAGGTTCAGTTAGCAGATGGAACACATGCCCCTATTGTTAGTAGGGGTACAGTCTGTCTCCCAGATGGCCTTACATTACATTCGATTTTTCATGCGCCAAAGTTGGCCATAAATCTATTATCTGTACATCAGTTCGCCAGAGATTTTCACTGTGCGGTTGTATTCTTATCTGATTCGTGTTATTTGCAGGACCTGAGTACCAGGAGGATTATTATCAAGGGACATGAGAAAGATAGACTATATTATCTTGGCAATCCACCTCCAGTTTCACCAATTCCTTCACCTACATCACCTGCACCTGCTTTGTCTTTTTCTGTTCCTAGCTTGCATGCTAGTATTTTACCTAGTAGTTGTCGTTATGATTTTTCGTCACAAACTGTTCAATTGTGGCATGACCGTTTTGGATATACAAATTTTAAATATTTATGTATGTTGTTTCCTGCTTTTGAGTAATGGTTGTGTTGGTGGTAAACTTGATTGTGTTATCTATTCCCTATCGAAACATGTTAGGGCCAATTATATTCCTCGCATGCACCAGTCACCCAAGCCATTTGACCTAATACACTCTAATATTTGGGGACCCTCTCCCGTTACTGCTCTGTCAGGTACCAGATATTATGTGACATTTATAGATGATCATACCCGTTGTACTTGGGTCTACCTTTTGCATAGAAAGTCTAATGTACTCCCTATAATCACTCAGTTTTTACAGATGATTAAGACACAATTCGATGTCATTGTTCGTGCTCTTCGTTTGGATAATGCCAAAGAATATTTGTCTGATGCCTTAGTGTCTCACTTTTCTTGTCAAGGTATTCTTCAGCAACTCACTTGTCCATATACTCCTGAGCAAAATGGTATTGCTGAAAGGAAAAATAGGAGTTTGATAGGGATGGTACGATGTCTGCTTAGAGGCATAAGGGTACCAAAATCTTATTGGCATTTTGCTGTTTTAACTTCTACCTTTCTGTGCAATCGTACGCCGAGTCGTGTTCTTCAGCATAAGGCTCCCTTACAGGTCTTATTTCCTGAGCGGACACTTTTTTCGGTCCCCCCTCGTATTTTTAGATGCACATGTTTTGTTCAGGATCGGTCTCCTACTCGTCATAAACTTGATGATAAATCGATTCGTTGTATCTTTGTGGGCTATTGTCATCAATCTAAGGGGTATCGATGTTATGATCCTATTAGGCGCCGTATGTATCACAGTCTAGATGTTACCTTTCTTGAGCATATTCTTTATTTTCCTTTCAGTCCTTTGTCTGCCCCTCTAGTTGATGATACTCCCTTTGATTTTTCATTACCACAAGAGTCAGAGTCATTGATCACTATCCTTACAGGGTCATCCGTTTTTCCTCCAAAGGAGTCACTCATCCCTGTCAGTACAGAGTTACTAGTCTCTCTTCCTTTGCAGGTGTATGTTCGTCATCCTCGCTCTCATCACCCTGCTGATATCCCCTCTACCTCAGGCGATGCAGCTAATATTTCTTAGTTTGTTGAGCATATTGATGCATCTGTTGTTAGTACTGATGAGATTGCAGGTGCTGAGCTAGTTACTTTACCTGATGAGACATTATCAATAGAGAATGGTGATTTAGGGTGTCGTTATCCAAGGCGTGATCGCCGTCCAGTTGATCGTTATGGTTGGACCGCCAAGATTTTTTATCCGATCTCTACTTATGTTTCTTATGGTGATCTGTCTCCCACATTTCGAGCTTATACTATGGTCTTATCAGATACGCCGGTTCCTCGCTCTATTTCGGAAGCTATGTGGTAGCCCCAGTAGGTTCTTGCCATGCAGACAGAGATGGACGTTCTTCAGCGTAATCATACATGGGATCTTGTCTCCTTATCTTCAGGGGTGAAACCTGTTGGCTGTCGTTGGGTTTACACCCTGAAGTTTCTTGCGAATGGTACTATTGATCATTACAAGGCTAGACTTGTGGCGAAGGGCTTTACTCAGGTACCAGGTCGTGATTTTGGTGCTATATTTGCCCCCGTGGCAAAATTGACTACTGTTCGGTTGATTATTTCTCTGGTTGCGGAGTACTCTTGGCCTTTTCATCAATTAGATGTGAAGAATGCGTTTCTTCACGGTGATCTGGACGAGATTATTTATATGGATGCACCACCGAGCTTTCGTGGTGAGGGGGAGTATGCTGGAAAGGTATGTCGACTGCGTAAGTCTCTTTATGGACTGAAACAGTCGCCACGAGCCTGGTTCTCTCGCTTCAGTGATGTAGTCGTATGATTGGGGTTCACCAGGTGTCATTCTGATCGTACCTGCTTTATTCGACGGAATACTTATGGACAGTGTGTCATCCTTCTGGTATATGTTGATGATATTATTATTACTGGTGTTGATGTTTCTGGGACTGCGCAGGTCAAGATAGACCTTGGGAAGGCCTTCAATGTGAAGGACCTTGGATTTCTGCGATACTTTCTTGGGATTGAGGTTACCTGTAGAAGCAGGGGTGTTGTTTTTTCTCAGAGAAAGTATGTTTTGGATCTTCTTTCAGACACTGGGATGTTAGGGTGCAAACCAGCATCATCACCCATGATTCCAAACCTGAAGCTTACTGCTGAAGGTGAGGAGTTGAAAGATTCAACAGTTTATCAAAAATTGGTAGGTAGACTTATCTACTTAGTCAATACTAGGCCGGACATTTCATTCGCAGTCAGCCGAGTTAGTCAGTTCATGTATAGGCCATGTCAGCCTTATCTTGATGCAGTTTATCATATTCTTCGGTACCTCAAGTCTTATCCTGGACTTGGGTTGTTTTATGCATCAGGATCTCAGACTGGTTCTCTAGCCTGTTATTCAGATTCAGATTATGGGGAGCATGTGATGGTCGATCTACTACGGGTTTCTGTGCTTTTCGAGGGACTCATCTTATCTCTTGGAAGAGCAAGAAGCAGGCAGTTGTCTCCCCCTCGTCCGCAGAGGCAGAGTATCGGGCATTGGCACTTGGCACGTGTGAGATTATTTGGCTACGATCGATTCTTGGCGAGTTGGGTTTTTCAGTGACCTCTCCATCCACATTATATTGTGATAATCAATCTGCTATTCAGCTCGCTTCTGACTCTGTACTACATGAGAGAACGAAGCATATAGAGATCGATGTTCACTTTCTTCGGGAGAAGGTCAGCAGTGGTCTTGTTACTCCATCGTTTGTGGGGACCAGTGATCAGGTTACGAATGTTTTTACCAAACCTGTCACTTTGTCTATTCTTCGGGACTCCGTTGTCAAGCTTGTCTTAGTTGACATTTTTACGCCTAGCTTGAGGGGGAGTGTTGGAGTATGGATAATCTAGTTTATTAGGATTTCTTTTCCCTTTTTTACCCTTATTATGATTTTTATATTTTGCCTAAACTACAAGGATGTTTAAGTCACTCTGTATTATTTTTGGATATATATATGGGGTTCTACTCTTAATTTGAGAATCCCTTTTTGACTCACATATTTCTCTAGTGTGTATTTGTAGTTTTTTTGAGAAATTGTGAAAGTAATGAATATGAATTTTGATTATATGTTTAATCCATTAAATGGTGCTTCACATTCATGTAGATAAGGTGTTTGATGAAATGTTTCATAGAATTCACATTGAGAAAAATCAAGGCATCTTGGCATACATGAATCCTTGGAACATAGTGTGGGTTGAGTACTTAGTGCTATGCATTATGAGGGTGTAGATCCTGTGGTGAAAAATCCAAAATCTAGCCAATGACAGTACTCGAGGGCTGACGGGGGCAGACCATAAAGCGAGACATGGGTGGCATAGAGTTACATGAGTGTGTCATGCATATTAACATTGCATAGCATTGAAGGATTACGGGGTTGTAGTTTTTAAAAAAATGTACACTTGCACATGCCACGCCTTAAATTTGTTCCTAGCATTAGTACTTTGTCATACCAGCAGTTGATCTAACCCATTCGTGGGATATCATATTATAGATGAGACTCTCGATACTTGAGACACGATGATGTCTTAAAGGAAGGAGGAAAAAAGGACTTGAATGGATATTTGGCCTTTGAGCGTATTTTGTATATATGGGCATAAGTCCAAATGACTTGTGTTTCAATTTGGAAAAGTAATGGATTATAGACCTTGGGTCATTTTAAGGTATAAGGGTGTAAACCCAATTGATATGTAGGATATTTTTATTTAATGAGTATCATATGTGTATATTGGGACAATTAGATGTGTATGTTGAGAACAAGGGATGTATGCTTAATTTACATGGATTGTGGCCACCGAATGAGGGTGGGTTATGATATAATAATGTATATGAAATATTGTGAATATTAAGTGGGAAAAAGGCTTGGAAACAAAGGAGGTTATGTTAAAATTTTAAGGAAAATTAAAAGACTTATTAAGTGTGTAAAACACCTTTTAAATAGGTGGGAAGGATGTCAAAAGGGGGGGCTTAGAAACCTTGAAGAAATAAGCTAAAAATGAAAGAAAAGTGGTTTGAAAAATTTTAGGAAAACATGGGAAATGAATGAGAAACCAATTTATCCAATCTAATGACCTTTCATTTATTTTTTTTCTTCCTTTACACTCACTCCTCGGGTTTGTGAAAATTCGGGGCGTGACATGTATTGTATCAAATCAAGTTTTTTACTCAAGTATTGACTCAAATTTGAGTCAAGGTTGAAGATACTCTGATATATTGCCATTTTTAAAGGGATGTTATAATGAATATATTTTAGGCAACCAATGAATACATCATCTTTGTTGCACAAGTTTTTAAGTTGTTAATACTCTACATCCGGTGAATATAGGTACTCCACATGGATAGGAATGACTATTATGGAGGAGAGTCAACTTCGCTCAATCTCATTCAGGTTTATATGCATATTCTCAAAGTTTTGTGCAACACGTGATTAATATTTCAGATTCATTTAAAAATTCCAATTTTCTTGTTGGGTCTTCAATTTCTAGCTTTGGAAGAGGTTTAGAGGAAGTGATAAGCCTCCAGCTCATTTGGGATCTAGCAGGGATTATAATGTGGACATGATCCCAAAGGTTTTTATCATCTTTAGTTTGTTGCATGCTGTTTCACTGACCACCATTCTCATTTTCTTTATTCCTCCTCAACTTTTTGTGCTAGTCTAACTGATATTTGTTATGATAGTTTATCATGGCAAATGGTGCTCTTGTACGAGTCCTCATACACACTGATGTTACAAAATATCTGTACTTTAAAGCCGTGGATGGAAGCTATGTTTATAACAAAGGAAGGGTATGATAAGTTTGTGACAAGAAAATAGTTCCTCACCCCCACCCCCTCTTTTTCCTAGTACAAGGTGTTTCTATTCAGCTTTCCGTTGTAGTTGTTGTAGCTTACCTTAAGGTATGGTAAACTTAATCCAATAGGTTCACAAGGTGCCAGCAACTGACATCGAAGCTCTCAAATCTCCTCTCATGGGCATTTTCGAAAAGCGCCGTGCTCGGAAATTCTTCATATATGTCCAAGATTATGATGAAAATGATCCAAAAACACATGAAGGGATGGATTTGACAAGAGTGACAACTAGAGATCTTATTGCGTATGATCTCTTGATCTTTACTTTTTTGTTTCTCTTATATTTGTTGATAAGTTCCACTGACTATGGATGGTTTGAATGTCCTTGGTGTTTGACATTAAGTTTGGGGTTTGGGATTTTCACATGATACTTTTTGGTTTAGCATGTATTTGGCAATCAAGAGTATGGTTCAGAATGTCGACTGATAGTGATATAAACTTGGTCGAGCTGTATTTGACTCATCATATTTTGATACAATTTACAATTCTATGTTTCGTGTAATATAAGAGTCTCAAAAGATTCGGCCAAGTCATCCAAGACCGCATTGTCCAAGTCATTTTCACCAAATCGGCCAATACCGCTTCGGCGATGGTGTGGTATGACCTGAAGTTTTTATCATATTCAACTTTTTCTTCTAGGTAGCATATCGCCTGATATTGTTCTATGATGCCACGACCAATGCATCTGAGTGTCTTCTAGGCTGATGGATGATATTATGATCTTGAACCATGATTGACAATAACTTTTTAAAAAAAACAGATTGTAATGAAGCAAATATTAAAGAGAGGCAAAGATGCAGATGGTAAAGGATATAGATAGGAAGAATAGAGTGAACAGGGACAGGTTTAGGAGTGTCACCTCTGTATTTCAAGGAGAATCCCTTGGCCTAGTCAAATATATATTACGGTTAGGTTCATAAGCTACTACATCTTTGGGAAGAGGAGAATCCCTTGGCCTAGTCGATCATATATTGTGGTTAGGTTCATAAGCTATTACATCTTCGGGAAGAGACATCACTAATGCAAAACAACTTCGGTTCTTGTTTTATTACATTGAGGAGTGACACCTCTGTATTTCAAGGAGAATCCCTTGGCCTAGTCGATCATATATTGTGGTTAGGTTCATAAGCTATTACATCTTAGGAAAGAGACATCACTGATGCAAAACAACTTCGTTTCTTGTTTTATTTGATTTTGTTTATTTCTGTTGGTTATATGGAAACAGTATGGCTAATGTAATCAAAACGGCCTTTCAAAGCCAACCCCAACCATGTCCTACTAAATGCAGAACCTTAGCACTAGTTGGGGGTTGCACCAGATAGACAAACTCTTCAAGCTGCTGTCATCCCGATCTCGACCGACTTTTTGGACAAACTTTTCCTTCTCTTGGTGCATGATGGATCTTTGAATTAGTTCTTTGGAGGGGCTTTAGTTCTTGTGTTCTAGCACTGAAGTATAACTATGAAGTGGTGTGTTTATTGATCAAAGCAAGGAGATGAGGTTAGGGTTTGTAAACTATGGTTATGCTTTTGCCTCAAGACTGGAATGTTGCTAATCAGGAAGGGGACATCATCTAACATAAGCAATGTTTGTGTTTTGTGCGGCCCTTTGACTCCTTCGCTTTTGTAGTCGCTTCATCCTTTCATTGATCTGGCTTAATGGTGTGCCAGAAAACATTTACAGTTCCATGCATCACAGTGATCCATGTCACAAATGAAATTGACTTTGCTCGGTAAGTTCCTTAAAAGCTAGAAATATAGTTTAGTTTAAATTAGTGCCCAAATCATATTTTTGTTGGATTATGTGAACTTGAGACAATTGTTAATGGAATAAGCATCCTCCTATTTCCTAACATGTTTTATTTTTCAAATAAAAACTTAGTTATATTGGTCGAGTAGTTTTGCTTGTTTTTCCCCCTTTTTTCTTTTCTTTTCTAACCATTTGGATATACTAGGATCATTCCCTGTGTTCAAAGGATTTCATGGCTGACTATGTTCCATTTTATTTTATTTGAATCACTTTTTTGTGTTACAATAAATAAGAGGTCATAAATGAAGTTAAAATGCTCATCATAATTTGTAGAAGTTGAGTATCTTTTATTTCTGGGTATAAAAATTGATGGCTGGTTTGCTTATTTTTTTATTGAAAGTTGTGAAGAGTTCTAGAAGGGAAATGAAATGTTGATTATTGACTTGAAGTATTAGTTCCACTGGTTTGTTATTTAGTAGTAGAAATTATAATAATCAATTTGGACTTTCTTTGTATTATGAAATGGGATTATTTGGGCTTGCCATTTGTGTGTGGATGGTTTGTCTTAGATGGTAGGATGAACTGGAGGGATTATGTGTGCCTTACATGTTGGAAAGTATAAAAAGGATTTAGTTAGCCTTATTGTTGTAAACCTTCATCAACTGTATTTTTCATTCTTTTTACATGTCTCCTGTGTATTTTGTGGTTTGAGAAGGGGAGTTAAAATAGTCAACATGTGAATTCAATGGTTGGAATGCTGATATGTAGATTCCTTGGGATGGTGCCTGCCTCATTTGTCTCCTGGTCACAGGGTGGATTGCTGCAAAAACCTTGTGGCATTTGACTTGATTAGGGAGTGCTACATGAGATTAGTCTTGAGCAGGACAACAAAAGTTTTTCATTTGCAAGATTCTTAGTTTAATGTCTCTTGAAGATTTTATTTTATTTTACAAGTGTTAGAAGGAGACTTGTAACTTAAATGAACAAAATAATAAGAAAATATATGAAAATATTTAACTTACATGAGCGTATAGTGCATAATATAAATGAATGGTGAAGACGGACTCATATAGTCAACCCCAAATGATTGGGACATAAGGTTTAGTTTGGTTTGGTTTGGTTTGGTTAGAATGAGACTAAAAAATTGTAAGGACTTGCATTTTTTTTTTTACTTTGGTGGTTGATGGATGAGTAGATTGGTGGAGAGGGGAGTGGAACATAATTTAGTGGAAGGTTTTCTAAAAGTGGGGGATGATAGGAATAAAGTTTCTCATCTTTAGTTTGCGGTTGACACCATTTTTTTCTAATCTGGAGACGAGCAGAAATTTCAGAATTCGGTAGAAATTGTTGGGATTTTTAAGTCTTAGAAGATTTGGCTAGGAGATTGGGGTGTGAGGCGAGTGAGTGACCTTTAAAGTATTTGGGTCTTCCGTTGGGGGGTAATCCTTTATTCCTAAATTTTTGTAATCTTGCTGTAGAGAGAGTGCAAAAAAGATTGGATGAGTGGAGAAAAGTTATGTGTCTGAGGGAGGGAGGCTCACTTTAATTCAAGTTGTGTTGGGTAGCATTCTTACTTATTTTATGTCCCTTTTTAAGGTTCCTATTAAGGCGGCTAAGATTTTAGATAAAATGATGAGAGATTTTTTATGGGGGGGTAGTGGAGAAAGAAATAATGATTGTCTTGTTAGGTGGGAAGTTGTTTTAAAGTCTAAAACAAAAGGGGGTTGGGTAGAGGTAATTTAGTTAAGAGAAATGTGGCTTTATTGGAAAAGTGGTTTAGGAGGTTTCCATTGGAGTTTGATTCCTTGTGAAATTCTATTATCAAAAGTAAGTGTGGTATCCATGCTAATGGATGACACTCTAATGTGGTGGCTAGAAGGCTCATTCCGTAATCTTTGAAAGTTTATTTTTCAAGATTTGAATGATTTTAGAGAGTATATTTCTTTGAAAGTGGGGAATGGAGAAAAAGTATGCTTTTGGGAGGATATTTGGGTTGGTGAGTCACTTTTGCTTTGTTGTTTCCTCGGTTGCTCATAATTCTCCAATGGCAAGGGTTTCTAATATTTTTACGAATTCTTTTGGGGGTGGAACTTTCATGTTTTTTGTAATCTAAATGATCGGGATATCTTGGAGTGTTCTTCCTTACTTTAGTTGATTGAATCAGTTTCCTTGCACTCGTCGGCTTGTGATAGAAGACTTTAGTCTCTTGATTCTTCTGGGATCTTTTCATGTTCCTATTTTTTAATGGTTGATTGATATTCTATATGATTCTATTTTTGATCCTCATTCTATGATTTGGAAGGCAAGAGTGCTAGTTAAGGTGCAAGTGACTGCGTGGTTGGTTGCTCATGGAAAGGTGAATCCTTGTGATTTATGGCAAAAAGAAAAGGCTGAACATTTTTATTTCTCCTCAATGTTGTATTATGAGTAAGATTTCTTATGAAAGTGTTGATCATCTGTTTCTACATTGTCCCATTGCCATTTTTTTATGATTCAAGCTTTTGGAGGAAGTGGATTTGGTGTGGGTAATACCTCGCAAAAATGCTTCACTGTGTAGGATGAATTTTGAGGGTTTTGGATGTGGTACTTTGGCTATTTTTTGGGTGGTTTGGTTTAAGCGTAATCGAAGAATTTTTGAAGGAAATGAGTAGGAAAAAGAATGTTTATGGGAAAGAGTGAAGTTTTTGGCTTCTCTTTAGGCAAAGGTTACCAAGGATGTTTGTGATATCCCTTTGGCTGTTTTCCAACTAATTGGAAGACTGATTGTAGTCATTAGTTTTTCTTTGTGTTTTGATTCCTGGGTGGATTTCTTATCTACCATTTTTTGTAATTCTTTTTACATCTTCCGTTCTATGAAATGAAAGTTCTGTTTTCTATCAAAAAAAAAAAGAAAAAATTGTAAGGATGCCTCATTTAGAATGGTGGTCAATGATATGCCTGTGATTTTAAATGTCAGCACCCAGAGCCTGGACTCTATCTTTTATCGGATCCGTAAGTGTTATTTTCTGAGCTGGACAGCAAAGGAAGGGAAAGCAATGAGTTACTAAAAATTTCCTGGGATGTGGAATAAAGGAAGGTTGGAGCGGGTTTGCTACCTGTCTAAAGTGATCCATCAATCTATTTTGCATGCATGAACTCGAAATTTAGCTTTCATCTCCAACAATTTCTTGTGCTTATAGCATACTTTAGCATCACCGGATGCTACCATACAGAAAAATAGAACCCGGCGCTAATTATTGCTCTTGTGGTAGGATGTTATATCAGATTAAATCCCTTAGCCTCATGTTTAGAACATTTTATCTTTTTGAAGTATTCATATAGCCTGACTATGCAGTAAAAGATAAATGTGTGATTGTGGTTCACGTCTTTATGGTGCAGAAAGATAAAATGTGTACAATGACCCAAGCTGCTTTCACCCGTATAATATTCGTTGTAACAGAATTGTTCAGCACTTAAAGTTCATTTTGCTTATATAGACAGTTGACTTTCTGACAGGAAATATGGTCTTGATGACAACACTGTGGACTTTATTGGTCATGCATTGGCCCTCCACCGAGATGATTGCTACTTACATGAACCCGCATTGGATACTGTGAAGAGAATGAAGGTGAAGAATGCATACAACCCATAGTTTAGGTCCTTTCCCTTTTTTGGATTCTTAAACAACATTTCAATGTCTTGTGCCCTTGTTTAAAAACATTTATTTCTTCTCATGTGATAGCTCTATGCGGAGTCTCTTGCACGTTTTCAAGGAGGATCACCTTATATTTACCCTTTGTATGGACTAGGAGAACTCCCTCAGGTTCTTCCTTTTGCAATTCCCGGTTTCTTTCATGTCTTGTTTCTTCTTTTCTTTCCTCTCCCTCTTCTCTGTTTCTGTTTTGCATTCTCTGTTTTTTACATTTTCTTTTTTATGTCTTTATTTGAGGGGAAGCATTGGTAATGTTTTGAATAATCGTCCACTTACTTCATGTTTGTTTGTATCTTTCATTAGGCTTTTGCTCGGCTCAGTGCTGTATATGGTGGGACGTACATGCTGAATAAACCTGAGTGCAAGGTATCAAATTCCCCATGCACATAAAGGCAAAACCAAAAAATAGTAAAAAAAATAAAGAGAAACTTTGATGTTCATTTTCATGTTTTGCACTTTTCTTAATTTTGGCTTTTTGACTAGGGGAATATTTAGATTGATTTTTAGAGTGAGGCTTGACACAGTTACTTAAATGCTAGGTGGAGTTTAATGAGGAAGGCAAGGTTCTTGGTGTCACATCAGAAGGTGAAACTGCTCAGTGCAAGAAAGTTGTATGTGATCCTTCCTACTTGCCCAACAAGGTAATGTTTTCATCGGCTGACAACATTATTTGGCCTTTCAGTTGGTGCTTGACTATGTCATTGTTGATGTTTTGATTGGGCTAATGTAAGAGCATTTGAACTTGCACCTCTATGAATATATCATTTTTGTAAGGTTCTGGAAGCGTGTGTATATGTCATGTTTCTTCACAGGCAACTTATTTCATAGCTGTGCAGGCTTTAGATTATGAAACAAAAAACTATCTTTGTGTAAATATTTTTTACTCGACCACCTAAGTGTCATTTTGATTGAAAGCAATGCGAAGCGCCGTGTGTAACAGGTTAGGAAAGTTGGAAGGGTTGCAAGGGCAATTTGCATTATGAGCCACCCAATCCCAAATACCAATGATTCTCACTCAGTGCAGGTTATTCTACCACAAAAGCAATTGGGTCGCAAATCAGATATGTGAGTTCTTTAATGTCTTCTTGAGATAGGATCTATCCAGTGATTTGCAATCATATATGCATGCTTGTTTAAATACATATTTATATTCTTTAGTATGATATAGCTATTTGGTTTAGATTTTCTATCTCAGGCCGAGGCTCCTGTTCCCCGGGTTTCCAGTTGGATGGCTGGGCCAGGCCTGGCAGGGTAGTAATGTTGTTCCTGAGTAGGATCTTGTCTGGATACTCTATTTTGGGGACATTGACAAGCAAAAACAGTCAACTGATTGTTACAAAAGAAACATCAACATTGTAGTCTTGAATTATTGTCTTATTTGGGATTAAAATTAGCAATTAAAATAAGAAACAGAATAGTTTATGTAGGGAATTTATCCGCGCGTTCGGGATATCCTCCCCCCAAGGAAGGATTTCGGTTGACCTGCTCGCGTTTGGCAGTAGCCTTTACCCCTCTTCGATACCTGCAGGAGCGCGTTCGTCTCACATCGTAAGAGAGTCGTTTGCCCCCTTGACATATAAGCCTTAGCACTATATGGAGGAGGTATCCACTAGCCACTTGTTCTAGGAACTTGGCTAGTGGGTACCTCCTCTATATAGTGCCAAGGCTTATATGTCATGGGGGAAGACGACTCTCTTCCGATGTGAGACGAACGTGCTCCTGCAAGTATCGAAGAGGGGTAAAGGTTACTGCCGAACGCGCGCAGATCAGCCGAAATCCTTCCGTGGGGGGAGGACATCCCGAACGTGCGGATAAATCCCCTACAAAAAGGCGCCTTTTTGTAGGGGATTTATCCGCGCGTTCGGGATGTCCTCCCCCCACAGAAGGATTTCAGCTGACCTGCGCGCGTTCGGCAGTAGCCTTTACCCCCCTTCGGCCCGCAGAAGCTTGTCCTACATCGGAAGAGAGTCGTCTGCCCCCCTAACATATAAGCCTTGGCACTATATGGAGGAGGTACCCATTAGCCAAGTTCTTGGAACAAGTGGCTAGTGGGTACCTCCTCCATATAATGCCAAGGCTTATATGTCAGGGAGGGGAGACGATTATCTTCCGATGTGGGACAAGCTCCTGTGGGCCGAAGAGAGGTAAAGGCTACTGCCGAATGCGCGCAGGTCAGCCGAAATCCTTCCGTGGGGGGAGGACATCCCCAACGCGCGGATAAATTCCCTACAGTTTATAATAATAAGAAAATTAGCCATCAGATTTGTAACTTCTTCCAGAGAGTAATGAAGAAATCTAAGTTTATGGTTGCAATGAGTGATCAGTTGATTAACCACTTATTTAATATTTATAATGCCTGTAATTGGTTTCTGAACTATTTGTGTCATTCCTTTATGTTTTTTATTGCTTAGCTCAGTTTCCAATATTTGAAATTTTTAGACATCAGTTAGCTAGTTGTCCATGCAACTGGTCAGCTTAATTGTCTAAATTACTATCCATCGTTATCTGGATAAGGGATTTCCAACTTCTACGAATTTAAATGCCAGTTGGTTGTTATCTTATGTTATGTGTTTGTAGGTATCTTTTTTGTAGTTCTTACTCGCACAATGTTGCCCCAAAGGGGAAGTTTATTGCATTCGTCTCGACAGAGGCAGAGACTGATCAGCCTGAGATTGAACTAAAGCCTGGAATTGAGCTTCTAGGGCAAGTGGAGGAGATATTCTTTGATGTTTATGACAGATATGAACCAGTCAATGAGCCCTCTCTGGACAATTGTTTCATATCGACTGTGAGTTTCTTTTATGTGCCATTTTGAAACATTGTTTTAACGTGAAGCTTTCAATAATAAGAATTAGTAATTATGTCACCCATTTCAACAGAGCTATGATGCCACCACTCACTTTGAGTCAACCGTTGTGGATGTGCTCAACATGTACACCATGATTACTGGAAAGGTATGATAAAAACTTTACTACAAAATTCCTTTCATATTGATTTGTTGCCCTTGACAAAAAAATTTGCATTGAACAAACTTTGGATTATGACAATTGTGGTGCTGTTATGATAAATAAATAAAATTACCACAGCGCAATTGCACTAGAAAAGGATTAATCACCATATTAGGGGGTTAGTTCGATGTTATAGCCACTGGTGTGTAGGTACTATCTTTGTCAACAATTTTATGAAATGCTGCTGCATTTCAACCTAGGAATCAGGTATGCACCAGTTCAACAATTTTATCAGGTATGCACCATTTCAACCTAGAAAAACTCCTCGACATTGGCACCATAGTTCCAATGTTGGTTCTGGATAGTACATTTCAGAGATTTCTTAAGCAGCAACATAGAAGTTGCTATTGGTTGGATCTACTATGATCTGTGCAATGATTATTTTTGTGACCTGTTTTCTTCTATTTGTTATTTGATCTGTATTATTCTGTTCAGGAGTGTCTATGGAATGGGTCATGTGACACATGATGTTCCTTATTTGATGATACAACTCCATATTGAACTTGCAGAAATTTCATGCTTGGTAGAAATTTTATGCTAGGTACTATATACACTTGAAGAGATATTTTATTTTAGAGTATTTCTTGCGTGTGCTTGTGCACAATTCTTGAATAGCAGCTGTGCATGCCTCAAAGAGAAGCCAAGGGGTCCCTTTGGTAGTCAATATGGAAGAGTTAGTTTCTAGATATAGACTATGACTTCAATGTACCCGTTTCCCTTTTTTCCCATAAGTGGGCATTGGAAAAGTCTATGAAAAAATATTCTTGGGGCCATGATAGGTCATCATTTCGTAAAGTTGCTTTCAAACCAAGTCCGAAAACCTGTAAAGAGAACTATTTGTTGCTGCATTTCTGAGTGATAAATGTTGATGACCCATTTTGTGTGTGCAGGTTCTGGACCTCAACGTTGATTTAAGTGCTGCCAGTGCTGCTGAAGAATGAGAAAACCTTTGGTTTCTGCATGTTCCTATTCGTGTTCAGTTCTGCCAAATTCCTAAACATTGCAAGTTTCCGGTGGAATTTGCCTAGTGAAAAAGGGATCATATTTAATTGGTTGTCTGCTTTCTTATCATAGACAAGAATTACATGATATGCAATAGAAGATGCATTTATATACTCGTTGAAATCTTGTTTTCAATTCATCTTTACGTGGTTTCTTAATGTTATAACCGGAAGAATAAAGTCGGAATGAGCATTCATGAGTTGGATTTCCACCTTCAAAAGATGGTACTAAGTTTGAGACTGGGATACCACTCATAATCTGGGCCCTTTTATTTTTTTTTTTCGGTGTTGAAAAGAAAGAAAGTTGGAAATGACAGAAAGTGACATGAAAATGTATTTTTTTGGATAAATTATATTTGCACTTCCTGACATTTGGTTTTATTACACAGACATCTCTTCACATTTCAAAAATTACACTGAGACCTCTTGACATTTGAACACGTGTGACAGTGGCTTCTTTTTTGTCTAACAGATGTTAACAATTTTATTAAAAAGATTTTTTTAACTTTCATATATCTTTGAGATTTATCAATGTCAATATCCAATCTAAGCCACCACCCAAGACCCCAACAAGCACACAAACAGTTGCACTGCCACCAGCCATACAACTATGACTTGAATCAACACGACCCCTACACAAATATGTCCATAATCACTTCCACCACCATTGTACCACCAACCTCAAACATAAAATCCTACTCAATCAAAACCACCTACAACCTCCCAAAATTACCAAGATTCAAAACCACTTCAACGAATTAGCCACCAACGCACCCCTCTATTTGGTGTAACCATCTCATCCTCCTCCACAGGAACCACCACCACCACCACCACCACCACCACCACCTCACCCTCCTCCTCTCTCTCTCTCCCCCTCTCTCTGTGCCACGCACACACTTTTTCAATCCTCAACTGTGGCTCCAAATCAACTCCCCAACAAATGCCTTCCCAAACTAAAAAAGAAGACCCAAAAACAATTATCCTTGTAGTATACACAGAAAAACACATGGTGGTGAGCTTGGTTTCACGATTCAGAGAGAATTTACCTGATTTTGGAGTATGCTCATGGTGGAGCTCCGAAAAATCGGCCTTCTCACAGAAAAACAAGCCGCCACTAGATGGGGGTGGCTACTAAAGGGTGCTGTAGTGGTGGGGGATGGGGGAGGGCTGACAATTTTTCCCAATTCTTCTACAAATTCAAGCTGATGATATATATATATATATACACACACACACACACACTCATTCTCTCTCTCTCACACACACAAAGGGAGTGAGAGAGAGAGAGAGAGAGAGACCAATGATTTCGAGCTGGTTCTTCGCCTTGAGAGAAAGAAAGAGAGAAAGCATTGTGTAAATGACAGTGAAGATTAGGGTTTGGGGTTAGGGATATGGCTTGGGGTTTAGGTTGAGTTTGTGTTAAATAAAGGGGCAAAATAGTCTTTTTATTAAGATAGTTAACTCTGTCTAACTATTGGGGTCTTAGTGTAATTTTTGAAACGTAAGGGAGTGTTTGTGTAATAAAACCAAATGTTAAGGAGTGTAAGTGTAATTTACTCTATTTTTTTGGATGCCTTCGATTAGAATGAAATATTTGCTAGATAGTGGTAACAAAATTTCTTTCTATAATTGGGAAATAGAAAGTTATAACAAAATATTTTTAATTCTCTATATTGCACATATCTATACTTTTTGAGAGGGCTTTTTACATTTTAAAATGAATTAAAGGCTTTTTACAAGTCGGTTCATTGTTGTGTACTTTTAGGAGAAGAAGTTCAGACTGAATTTTTTTGGGATTTTAAGGATAGCCATGTGTGTAAAGACAAAAATATGCTATTCTCATTCAATATACAATTCAAAATTTAAAACTTAAAATTAAACAAAATCAAATACACAATTCAAAAATCAAATAAAATTAAATCTCCTTAATTTTATATTTTATAATTAAACTATCCATATAAAATTCACATTTCAAAATTTAAAATATATTCAAATCTCTTTTATTTTTAAACTTTTTTAAATTTACATTTACATATATATATATATATTTTTTTATTTTTATCCCTTATTTTTTAAAAAAATTTCGACACAAATATGTAATCTGACAAATTTTCTCGACATGTGTATATTATCATGTATGGATAATGTCTAAAATAAAGTTATGTTAAACTACAAATTAATCAAATATTAAATGATTAAACATGTGATAGAAATGAGTTATGAGATTTTTTTTTTTGGGGGGGGGGAAGGAATATGTATGGTAAAAAATTTCAAACACTTAATTATTTTATTGTATATATTAGTCATAACTCGTGTCTGAAGGTACAATAAAATATAAAATTTGCATGGCCAAAAAATCGATCCTACTATATTAAACAATAATTTTTTTTCCTTCATTTATTTGATTACATCATTTAAAATTTATTTTTACCCATTTTTTTTAAATATTGACAAAAATGTGTAATTCAACAAATTTTTTCAACACTGTCTACTATCATGTATAAATAATGTGTGAAATAAAAATTATGTTAAACTACAAATTAATTAAATATTAAATGATTAAACATGTGATAGAAATGAGTGATAAGATGATTTTGGGGGAAAAAATATGTATGAGATAAAATTTCAAACACTTAACTATTTTATGATATATATATATATACTAATTGTTACACATGTGCGTTATACGTGTAATATGTTGAATATCAAATATGTAAATTAAAACCGTAAATGTTTCGCTAATAATCCACTGTTCTAATAAACCTTGGTGTTTAACAAGCCAAAATTATGTGATTTTAGGAAATCTACAAAAATATTGATTATTGACTAAATCAAGACTACATAAAATATTTGATGCAAACACATTGTCCAGTACGTCATGCTCATAATGCGATGCAACTTCCCTCCCTAATCATAATCCCTGTAGCATGAAGTTTGAAAATGTAACAATGAAAGTTGGCAATCTCACTTTGCGGCAAAAAATAAAGTAAATAAACAACCTTTCTCTATTTTCACAGCCTTTGAAATATAGTGAATTGAGCTTATTTTAGTTCAAGGAATAGTGGAAAAAGATCGAATATGCTAAATTCAATAATGTTAATGACAAATTATTAAAATATGATAACTACATAGGATTTGTATAGAGTTCATCGATAATTTTACTTGACTAAAAAATACATTGAACCCGTTGAATTTTATTTCCATGTTGTTATTAATATCCCATGACATGAATACAAAATTGAATTTCTTATATGTAAAATTTACATGCTCATAAGAGTAGTGCCCGAACTTTTGTGCATCTATTTACACCTGTTTTTATTTTGTCAAGAAAAAGATATAAGTGATAGATGCCATTATAAATAAATCGTCAAAATTTATTTATTCAATTCGAAAGTGAAAACACAAAAACAAAGGCATTGAACGTGTCAATAATATGATAGGGCAAAACGACCTAGGGCTCAACATATCATATATATGAAGGAAGAAAAACATATGAAGTCCCTATAAAGAGTACCACCTAACAAAAATCGAATCATGAAACCAAAAAACATTGGTAGAAAATATTTGATCGATACCTAAATTGCAAGTTAGAGAGTCCTATACCTTGTGAGAAAGGGCTGAAATCCGGAAAGAAAAACGCTTGAGGGAAAGCCAGTTGCAAACAAACCATGAGTATCTGAAAAAGGAACTGCCCGTTGACCCTGGAAGAATAAGACAACATCAGTCTCCTACTAACCCTTAGGAAAGGTTTCATTAAGATCAAATAACAAATTTCCTTTAGAATCCATCTCATACGTAAAGGCCTAACATGGAGTAATATATACAAATGCATCCATTCTCACTGTCTGCTTTTTTTTTTTTTTTGAAGAAAATGCACATGCATTTCATTGGTGAGGCAAATCAATAATCTGGAAACCTCTGAAGCATTAATAAAAAGAAAATTGAAATTTTCAAACCATGTTCAGCATAGCAATCTATTAGAGAAGGAGATACAAACATGAACAAAACCTACTTTAATACTGAAGCACTGCAAATTGAGACATCAACCTTTTCACTAAAAAAAAAAAAAAAAAGAACCTCTAAATTTCAACGATAGAAATCAATCAACTGACACACAGATCTGCAAAGGAAAGCATGCAGCAGGAGGAGAGAGAAAGAAGAGTTTTGGCCATCTAGTTTTTATGAGTGAGATAACTCATTGGAATAGCAAAAGATGGGGATGATGTTATTAATAACATTAATGAGGTTATTTGTTAAAAGGAATGTGGGTGTAATAGAATTTATGTAAATATTTAATAGTTAATCATAAATTTAATACCAAACCTTGAAAACTGAAATCAGGCTCTGGAACTTCAATTGATCAAAGAGATAGAGATGCCAGTTATGTGAAAATTACTAATGGCAAAGGTCTTTGAGCTACAATACTTATGTAGTCATTACTTGAATATTGATGAAAGTTTAAAGATTAACACATATAAAGAAGATATAGAAAGGGCCTGATTGACTTTATAAGAAAAAAAAACGAAGGGATAACCATGAGAGAGCTTATTGCAGTTGTTTTTGTGTCTTAATTAATGCAACAAGTTTAATAAGATTAAAAAAATAAATTAAAAATTGGATGTTGGGATTAAGGAGCGAAAAAAATTAAAGATTTTGAGATTAATTGGCATTTTATATTAGTATAGATATAGATATAGATATAATAAATATAGATTTTAGAATAAGATAACCATAAGCCATAAATTGAAATATTTCATCAATAAATATATGTAAATTCTTGAATAGGGATAACATATATATTCTAGAGTTATGTAGGGTTAAAATAGGAAAATAAAAATTTTTCTTGTCAAGACACTTTTAGAAATAATATAGATATAGATACAGATAGATAGATATATGAACATTAGAGCCAATTGACAAGTTCACCTATTCATGTAGAAGTCCAAAAGTTCTCTTTAAATGGTAATTGAATGGAGAATATGAACAATTTAATTTAATAATGTCATTATGTATTTTTAAAGGTTATTATTGAAGATCACATGTTCTTATCATTTTTCAATATATGATACAAATGTCCTAATACTATTATCTGAGGATAAAAAAGAAAATAAATGTTTTTCAAGTATGTTGACATTTTAAAGTAGTGTATATGTATATCATTGCCTGGGACATTTGACAACGTCACTGTTACTGTCAACACGACAGTTACAATACTTCATTACTTGTCTTGGATAGTGAAAACACTTCACTAAAACTGTCTTCGAGACAATGACAATGCCACTAATATAATATTGGGATAGTGAAAATACTCTATTTTTACTGTCTTTGAGACAGTGACAATGCCACTGTTATTAATCAGGATAATAACAGTGCCTTGAAAATACTCTATTGTTAGTGGTTCTGGGACAGTGACAATGCCACTATTACTGATCAGGATAGTAACATCGCCTTTGTTACTGTCATGGGATAGTAAAAATACTCCTTTGTTACTTTCCTTGGGATAGTGACAGCCACATTGACTCCATCTATTATGAAAATTTTATATTATTTTTTTTTTCATTTTTTTGTGTGTCCTAATATGGAGAGAAAAATGAGCTCACATAGTCATTACCAATGAATTCAACAAATATTGTCAGCATGAGCTACACAAAGAACATCACCACCATGAATCATTCGGATTTACAACAACTATGGATGATTTTTTTAAGGCAACAATTGACACAATCTCTCAAAAATACATGGTGGGAAAAAGAAATAAAATAAAGAAAATAGAAGGAAATGAGAGAAAAGATAAATAGTTGAATGAAGACGATGAGATAAAGAGAGACTAAAATATAAATAAGGTATGAGAGAAGGGGGAAGAGAGAAGAGAGAAGAGAGAAGAGAGAAAAATCTAAATAGATGATATATTGAAGAAGAACGTTAGAGTTAGAGTTAGAGAGAAAAATTAAAGGTATAGATAGGAAAGAGAAATTAAAGAAATGAAAGAGATAGTAAAGAGAAGTTAAAGGGACGAAAGATAGAGAAGAGAGTAGTAATGGAATGGACGATAGATGAAAGAGAAATTAAAGAAGAGAGAGGAGAGTGAAATAGTTAGAAGGATAAATTAAAGGAGAGAGGAGATAGGAGAGAGAAGAGAAAATTAAAGGAAGAGAGGGGAGTCTTGAAAAGATATGCGTGATCTACTGAAGGTCAAAATAGAAAATAAAAAAAAAGTAAAGGGACTATTCAACCTACTTACAAAAAAGTACATAACATGTGTCCTGAATAACCTAAAGAGAGTGTGTCTGTCTTTATTCAGATACATTAATTTAGGATGATCAAATACAAATACAATTCAGATAGGGTTGGTAATGAATTGTGTCATGTCGTGTTTAAGTTGTATATAAGTCGTATTCTATTAAAAAATTTAACACGTGATAGTGCAATTTAGATTGATCTTGATATGTTGGACTTGGAAATGCTTGATCTAGAGGGGGGGGGGGGGTGGTGAATAGAACTTGACACTTGATCGCAAAATTTAATACTCAATTCAATACCTAACTCTACCAATTAATTAATTGTGACAATTGAAGCACCAATGCCCCAAATTCACACTACCAATTTAGAGATTTACACAAAATCTTCAAATTCTAACAGTCCTTCAAATTCAATTGAATATATCTAACTAAATCAACCAACACCCGCAAAACGAATCACAAGCATTCATTCAATTAACCATATGAAGAATGTAAATTTGCAAGCATGTAAAGAAAATAAAACACACTTGATTGCGGAATTTAATGACCAATCCAATTCCTAACTCTACTATTAATTAATTAATTCATTATTCCAAGAAATTCCTGATCATGGATACTCCATTTGATTGTTTTTACCTCTCCATAATTTTCCTCTTGCAATATCTTATTCTCGAAAAATCACTGTCATATCAAATCTCACATTTACTAAAATCAGCAAATAACTATTTTTCCCATATAATTCATAATACGGTCCTCAACTATCACCTAAGTTTCTTCCTATCTTCAGAAGTACATCAAAACATCATCTGATGATGCACAAAGTAGGCTTATGCACAATCAACAATCGAGTGTGTGGTTCAGGATAATTAATGAAGCAATCAACAAAGCAATTAATGAAGGAGACAAATATTGGCTCAACACAAGCAACACACAGATGTATAGTAGTTCGGTCAGGGTGACCCACTCCACTTTGAAGACGACAACAGTGGCCAATGGTCTTTATTGATGAAGTAATAGGTGAGAGAGAGAGAGAGAGCAAAGGTATGCTCTTGGTAGCCATGAGAGAGATTGTTGTGTAAGGTATGTAGAAAGATGCCCCTCTCATGTGGAGAGGGCTTACAATTTATATGCACAGAGCCTTGGTTGAGGCAGTGGCGTGATGGATAGGTTACTAGTCTTTTGGGGAAAATAAGTACAAGTAAAGATAGTCTTGATCTTCGAGTAGTAGTTATCCAAGTATTTACTCCCCATGTGCACTAATCTTCCTAGACTCCTTGAACTTTGGACTGGGCCGGATCCATAAGCTGGACTTGACATGCATTGTAGCCAATTTGGACTTACCTAAGAATTGGGTTTGGACCCAGATGGATTTGGCCTCATCATTTAGCCCCTATGCCCTAGCTATGACAAAAGGGGTTGAGGGCATGAGTGAGCCTCTTCATCTAGACAGGCCAGGCAGAAGATTTCTTGTTCTACATGGTGGTAGCTTTTTCAGCTTTCCCTCTCTGCGTACCTTGGGAGCTCACTTCCTTATTTGTCATGTCTCGCTACTAAAGACCTACTGTGAGCTCAGAGGAGATTTCAGCCTTTCATATTAAAAGCTCATTTTCTACATTTAGGCACTTTCTTTAGGGCTTTTAAGGCCAATATGAGAATGGGAACAAAAGGGAATCAATGGCCTCGATGAAACCCGATGAGGGAGATGTCTTGGCACCTCCACAATCAAATTTAGGCCTTGGGGAAGATGATCCAATAGACGACGACGTCAAAGAGGTTGATGGCAACGTCTATCGGCACGAGTCCTAACGTGGTGCCATGGCAGTTGGCGGTACCATTTTTGTAGAGCTCCGGGGCGGCACCATTGCAAAGCTTCAAGGCGGCGCCAAAGGCAAGAAAGGCATGGACGGTGCCTTTCGAGCAGAAGGCGACACCTATTTTGTCCTAGGCAGTGCCCCTTCTACGGTTGGAGGAGATGGAGTTCTAGCAAAAACAGGAGGGGGAATGCACCTGTGAGTGGTGACTGTGCTGGCCTCGGCCTGGGCGACGCTAGTCAATGCTTGGGCTTGGGTGACGCCTTGGACAGAGGAGAAGAGGGCGCCAATGGAGAGGATGACGATGCCTTGCACCAGTAGAGACAGTGCTGTGGGTGCTGGCATGGGCGATGCCATGCAAGGTGCTTGTCTGGGCGATGCTAGCTTGGGCGCTGATGGCCTGGACGATGCCAGACAATGCTTGGGTGTTTGGCTTGGGCAATGCCAAGCAACGTCTGGGTGCTGTCTTGAGTATTACAAATTTATGAAGAAACAGTGAAACTTCAAACGACCATAACTTTGCGCTCGGTAGTCTGTTTTGAGGCAATTTTTTTTTGAATTTGGGCATTTTGTCGAGATCTATGACGTACCAATAGTTGAGGCGGTTTGGGCACCAAATTTCTCATAAAATGTTTCTTTCTCATAGAATTTGAGTTTGAAACACAAATTAGTAAAACTGACGGCTGTGGGAAGTTGCGCTCTGACAGGCAACTGTCAGGCATTCATGGATGATAGGTTGACATTCTGGGTTTTGCCAGAGAGGGAGACTATGATGGCTTTTGGATAGGTAGGAGGCAAACCCACTTTCTCCATAATGTTTTCTCAATGCTAGTTCTTTATATTGACCTTATCTCTGATTACAGACGTCCTGTTGATAAAACGATGGGGAAGGCTCTATGCTTTAGGGTGGCGTCTTTTTTCTCTAAGAGGCCTAAGAAAAATGCCCCCAGTGCTTCTCGGCCAA